CAGATGTGTCGAAAGACAAACGAAATGTACTGAAGTTCGGTATTTTTATTATCAAATTTGACGGAATTTAAAAGCTCAAAGTGAACGAAACTAAACTAGGACAAGTACCGGACAGTGACATAGTAGGCATGGCCCGAGAGGCCACCGACACCTTCCTCATCGTCGTCGCGGGCATTCGAGTCGTCGGAGTCATGGTTGCGTTGTGGCGGAAGGCCCGACAGACGTCGCGGCATCACTGATCGGCCGCTGTTGCACGATGATGACGCACACGCTCTGCCGCCTCCGCCTGACACTGGATATGCCGCGGACTGCGCCTTGCGTCGCCCTGCCGTTGGCTTAGAGCCGGGCCAAGCGCTCAAACTCGGCCAACCCCACTTGGAGCAGCTGGGTATTGAGCCAACACCAACAACGGGCGTCGGAATCCGCGGTGATCTTTAGACCAATCGAGGGCCCAAGCCTCCGCCAACACCCAGGTCGATGTCATCTGGCTCTTCGCGAAGCCGCCCTGCACTGCACGTTGCGTCGGTCTTGGCGCTCCTCCTCCTTGGGAAGGCAATTGGACAACGAGGAAGACGCGCCGCCTGCGCTGCCGCCATGGCGGCAATACTCAAGGCGGTTGCGCGGCTTGGACGGCGGGGAGGACAACTCCTCTTTCACGCTGACTGGGCGCCACTGGCTGCCCGGCGGGCGATGCAGCTGGGACGGCGATGCCTCCTCCACGTGGTGTTCGATATGGATGACACGACATCACGACAGAGAGGCAGGCTCCTCCTTCACGCTGTGTCCGATGACGCCGCAATTGGGGAGGGGATGATGACGCTGGACCACGATCGATCAACGAGCACTGCAACACCATCTCCATATGCGGCGCGAACTCGTCGTCTGTCGCAACCTTGGTGGCGCGAGGGGTGGGTTCTGCTCCTCATCATCTGAGAAATTGGCTTCGCCTTGACTGCGAACATACCCATGGATGACGAGGGGTCCAGAGACCATGGAAAGTGGCGCCAACTAGATCTAGAACTCCTCACGGATCAGGAGCCGCGCGTTGGCCACCACTTCTCGGTGCAGGTCTTCTTTCCCATCGTGGCGACCGGTGGTGGAGGTGTGGTGGTGTGTGACGGCTTTGGGGAGGAGAGGAGGAGGATAGGGTTTGCGTCTGAGGTCGGCTGACTTAAAATAACCGAGGCGGCGGTCCAGTGAAGCTTGAATGTGGGCATCAACCAAAGTAGGCTTCTCGGTAGTCATGCCATCGTCAATGCAAGTTGGCAGGTGGTAGGTCCAGCCGTGGTGAAAACACAACGCGATGGTTCTAGAGTGGACGCGACGAGAAAGTTTTATTTGTGGGTTCGGTGTGGCGAAGTCGGACATGGCGGATGTCCGTACTCCTCCAGATCTGCCCTGGTTTGGCCTGATGTGTTAGATTTTGAATGCAACAATTGGTCCGAACAGATTTCGTGAGCCGCGTTGGATGGCTAAAAATGTCCGAATCATATGGCCCGAACATTTACGGGGCGGTTCGGTGACCCATGCTGAAGTTGCTCTTGTAAATCTGGACCAAACGGTCCGGAAATTTGTAACGAGTCCAATACAGATGTCCATTTTAGGCTAGACCGGTCCATATGTCTGAAATCCCCCATGCCGACACCAAGTCGGGAAGCTCTCGGAAGTTGTTGGGGAGTTTGGACATCCGCCATGCCAGACTCCAACACCTTTGTCTCACTCAAAAACGGAAAAAGTCTAAAATAAACCTTGAAGTTGTAGACGAAAGCTAAACCAAACCCCTAACACTCAACCCAGGAAATTGGCACTCTGAACTCTATAATCCCGGTCCATTTTAAACCTTGAGAGGACTTCGCCGGTATTTCCTGAATTGGGCCGACCTAGTAGCACAGTCGCTCATGCGCGCGCACTAATTTGTTTTTTCATAGTTTTTCTTTTATGTTTTCTTTATCTTTTTTCATTTTTATACATGTATAATTTTTCTCAGTACCCAATGTACATTTTAATGCATACATTAAATATTTGATAAATTTTTGATATTTTCAAATACATTATGGACATTTTTAAATTAAATGTTTTCAAAACTTTTTTGAATGCATGGTAATATTTTTCCAAATACATGTTTTAAATTTTCTTAATGACAATAAACATTTTATAAAACTACACAAACACTCTTTTACATGGTTCAACATTTTTTAATTTGCATACACTTTTTTTCAAACACATGTCACGTATATTCTGTTAAGGTTATAACACATTTTTTTACAACACGCAAACATTTTTTTACATTGTACAAAAAGTGTTCGCACTTTAAAATTTTGTTCAGGTTTCAGAAAAAAATTACGTTTCAAAAAGTGTTTGCACTTTAAAATTGTGTTCATGTTTAAAAAAATTGTTTATATCAAAAGGTGTTCCCCTTTTGAAGTTGTTCGTTTTTTAAGTATTCAAAATTTTCAAAAATGCAATTTATAAAATGTTCGAAAATTTCAGAAATAAATAGGTTTTCAATACTTGTTTGCCCCTAAAAAAAAGTTTTGAAAGTTCGACGCTTTGGCTTCTGATTAAATATTTTCGGCCTCTTATTATGTACTCCCTCCGTTCCTAAATATAAGTCTTTGTAGAGATTCTACTAGGTGGACTACATACGAAGCAAAATGGATGAATCTACACTTAAAATGCATCTATATACATCAGTATGTGGTTCATAGTAAAATCTCTATAAAGACTTATATTTAGGAACGGAGGGAGTAAGTCATAGTAGTGGTGTAGAGGCTAGCGAAATCAGGTCAACCGTCCCAAGTTCGACTCCAAGGCATGTTTTTCTCTTTTGGAATTATTACATCGCGCGTTAAGAAAAAGAAAGAAAGAATTTTACGGCGCGTGATAATATAAAAAACGCTTTATGCCTGGTGGGCCGTCTCAGTCAAGTCCGCAGCCAACTATCTGTCTTTTTTAAAATAAAACATCATTTACGAAATAATTTATGAAATTCCAAAAATATTTTTCAAAAAATGTGACACAATTATGAAAATCCGAAACATTTTTCATAGCATGTGAAAAACTGTTGGAATTCTGAAAAAAAATTGACAAATGTGATTTTTTTTAAAAATCATAAACAGTTTTTTAAAATACAAATATAATTTCAGAATTCCAAATATTTTTTAAAAACACAAAATGAATTGAATTCGTTCCAAAAATATAAAACAGGAACATTTTTTTAACTTCTGAACAATTTTAGAAATGTTCGAACATTTTTTAACTTCACAAATTCTTGTTGTGTTATAGTAGGCCGGCCCAAATTCTTGTCCATGAGAGAGTAGCTGGTTATCCCGACCGGGATTGTTGTATTCCCGGTGTGCCAAACTGATCTAGGGTCTAAAATAGACCAGGATTACAAGTCCAGAGTGCCAATTTCTGGGATTCAAAATTCAGAGTTTGATTTAGCTTTCGTCTACAACTTCAAAGTTTATTTTGGACTTTTTTCCTCAAAAACCCACCTAGAGCCTGCGTTTTTTCACAATCTTGTCCTACTATTCCAATCTCTATCCACCTAGAGATTGACGCTCATCCATACCCCCTTCCCCGGACGTTGCACATGCCTTGCCAAACTTGTTTATATATAAGTCTGGTTTAAAGCATTTATATATTCCTCGTATATGAATATTTTAAATGTCTATTTTACGATCCGACATCGTTCTGTTATTCTCACATGTTCAAATCCGGCATTCGAATATGCATCCGTTATGGTTCCCGATCTGCAAATATATATGGAATATGATACGATATAAGAATTATCCATTCGAATCTGATCTGGCTTCACCCATATAGTGGTAGCAATGCATGGTGCCATAGGTGGGCATGCGCTTTGCGGGATCTTTATGGCCATCGATGTGGAAACATTTGTGGTCTTAGGGCATCTCCAGCGCCGACTTGCAAATTCTCTCTCGCGCGTGCAACCGACTCCACCAGCGTGCCTCGAGTTGCATCGCTCGGGACAATCTCTGGAAAAACGTCCGATTCGAGCGCTCCTCCGGAGCCAGGCTCAAACATGCTTTAAGTTTTTTTTTTGAAATTGGGCAAAAGATTTGCCACTTTCATTGATTAAGAAGAAGGTTTAGAGTTTTTGGCCACAAGCCGAATTACAAAGACATCACTCTCGCGGCACTACGGTACTCAAATATTTTGCCCCTGCAAGGCACCAACGCTTTGAAACATCTTTGATTCTTGCAACAAGAACCCAAACCGGCACCGCGGTGTTACGGAAGACGCGTGCATTCCTCTCGTTTCAAATTTCCCATGAGATCAACATAATAAGAGACATCATCGCCCGTCGAGACTGCGATGCGTTGGAGTCAATGAGATTCCACCAGGCTTTCACCGAATGGACCGTCACCCAAGCTGTAGGGTTCACATCAACCAAGCCAAGCCAAGATTTGATCATTTTCCAAACTCGGACCGTGTAGCGGCATTGGAAAAGGAGGTGAGCCGCGGTTTCCTGAACTTGCTTGCAGAGGGGGCAGCGGTGTGCAATTCACGCAACGAAACGGCCCAAAATTGCATCTAGCGGGTCTGGCTGAGACTAATGCACTCTACCAATGGTTGTACTTGATGTAATCTTTCTGACCACTTAAATTTGTATTTTTAGATGGAAAAGACAAGTCATAGCTCACCTTGTGCCAGCTCGATGATCAACTGATAATTGGTTATGGTAGTTAACCCAACTCTCAACACGTCTAACTGACTACCATACCATCCCAAGTTTCCAACTCTCAACACGTCAACATACGTAGTATAAGAAAAATTAGTTATGGTGGTTACACTGCCACAAACCAACCTCTGATCTACCAACATGACGCCAGCTCCAACACTATATAAACGCACGCAACGACGATGCATCCATCCATCCATCCATTGGCACTCCAACTTCTTCCCCTCCAAATAATCGCGCGGGCTTGTGCTAAGCCGTGACAAGTGTCATATAGGCAGCTACAGAGATCAGGATGGACCTCAGGGCGCTCGCCTTTGCCGCTACCGTGCTCCTCGCCCTGGCCGCGCCGGCGCCGGTACTCGGGCAGGGCGTGGCGACGTCGTGCACGGCGTCGCTCATCACCAGCTTCACGCCGTGCCTCAGCTTCCTGACCAACAGCACCAACGGCGGGGGGTCGTCGCCGACGGCGGACTGCTGCCGGTCCCTGTCGGCGGTGGTGACCACGAGCACCAGCTGTGCCTGCCTCATCCTGACCGGCAACGTGCCGCTCGGCCTGCCGATCAACCGGACCCTCGCCGTCACGCTGCCCAAGGCCTGCAACTCCATGTCCGTCCCGCTCCAGTGCAAAGGTACCCACGTCCTGTCCCGAAAGCACCGGCGAGAATCGAATTGTTGAGTTGAGCGTGAAGTTTCCGTTTCTCATTTGGGTATGAACTGCAGATACGTCGGCTCAGCTCCCAGCTCCGGGCCCCGTCGCAGTCTCTCCTGCCATGCCCCCGCTGCGTAAGAACCTCGCTTAACAGTTAACTTCCTCTGCCAGTCAATGGGTCTGGCTTTTCTTTCTGCCGCGATTGGTTTTCACTGATGAATTGCCGTGGATGATCTTGTCGAATTTGCAGCGCCAATGACGCCGGAGTCGCCGGAACCACCGTCCGAGACCACCGTGACGATGCCGCCGGCTAGCCAGACCCAGGGGCAGACGAGGCCGCAGGTGGTGCCCAGCTCTGCCTGGAGGAACAGTGCGCCTGTGTCCATGATGCTCTTCATCATTGGAGCCATGCTGGTCTGATCCGATTCGAGTTAAGCTGAGCACGCAGGGCGGCTCTGTTGCTGCAAGACGTGCTGATTAGTATACTAGTACTACGAGTTTTTCGTGCTTGTTTCGTCGGACACTTGTACACATATGAAAATAGTATAATTAATTCAATCATTGGGCAAGTACACAATACTGTTTGTTTCCCCATTTGAAGCAATTAACATGTGAGGGCATCCCTAAAACAGACGCCATATCCTATGCGTCCGGACACGTCCGTGGACACGAATCCCTAAAACGGACATTGTATTTATCTGCGGATCCGTTCATGGACAAGGATACAAAACCGTCTGTGACAGTTCAGATGAGATTTGAACACGTTTTTCATGCAAGCCCAATAAATTTCATTTCATATCAAATTCATTACATTTTTCATTTTTGACATATTTCAACTAAACAAAAGTGGACGAGACTATTTTAACCCAATCTAAATGATCTCCGGCCGTGGCGGCGTCGTGTCTTTTCCAAGACGGCCGCTAGGGCACCATAGGCATCATCAGCATTGACTGTGGCGGCCCTCTACACTGCGCAGGAGGAAGCGGACCAACTTCTCTGTGAGCACCAGGCGGCATCCGGACAACGGTGTTGTGACGATCCCTCACCCTTCCGCTGGAGGGACGACGACGACGGTACGAACGGTGACGGCGGTGCGGCCAAGCATACGAGGTCGTCGTCCGCTACAGTAGCCTCCTATATTTTTTTCATCTAGCTCTTAGTTCAACAGTCAAAATATCGTCTTTTTTATGTGAATTATGTCCGAACTTTATTGAAATCCGTCATGTTTGATACAATATGTCTAGTTATTCAATTTTGGTTTGAATTGCATGTGGCTACGGTTGGATGCTGACTCTGACATCAGTCGGTAGTGGTGACGTGAAGGGGAGAGAAATAGAATGCGGCTAGGGTTGGGTCGGCTTAAATAGTCGGACTTGGGGCCCCGGGCGGCGCGTCGGGAGAGACATCACCGTCATGAATGCGCCCTCACCTCCCTCATAAAAAGAATCGGATGCAACGCCCATCGGGTAGATGGATTTTTGAGTGTTTTCCGCATGAGTCCCTGCGGTCAGTTTGACATGACGGGCATGGGTCCTTACGGCCAGTCTGACATGGCGGACATGCCCACGCCTCTCGTATGGTCAACAACCGTCATGTATGTGTCTGTAGGGTGGTGGTGGTTGGCAAGCCCGGCCATAGATTCTGTTAGGAGTGAGTTACACCGAATAAGAAGGTCAAAGATTTCAACACGCAGTGCCTAATCAATTTGTCAGTAGGTACAAAGAGACAGTACATTACTTGTCATGGATCCGATGGTGAAATACAAAGAAACTCGCCAGACACGCGCAAAGACAATCAATCCCAACGCATAGCACACACGAACTATAGAAGCAACAAAACAAATCGATTTATCACAAGACTAGCGAGCCAACTGTCGCGGAAATGCAATAATAACCCTGATTAACAAATTACAAGAACCCTAGATTAGCGGCGGGCGTGGCTCCTCCGCGGGATCCGCCCGCTGACACCGGGGAGTTTCCACCGTGGCCTGGCCGAAGAGCGCTGGGAATTCCTGCTGCAAACTGTCGATAGCATCCTGGGGTAGCCCCTCCATCATGTGCTCCAGGTAAGAATCGAACTGGTCCTGCGGCAGCAGCTCCGGCAGCTCCTCCATCGGGGCGACCTCGAACTCGAACGGGCGCTCCTCCTGTTGCTTCACGATTGGAAAACCCTCTTCTGCCCGCCACATATCGAACGCTTGCTGCAGCTCGATTAGATAATCCTGTGCCGTCTGCGGGTGGAACGGGAACTCATCCTGCTGCAGCTCCATTAGAAAATCCTCTGCCGTCCGCGGCTGGAACCGGAACTCATCCTGCTCCATCTCGGTTAGAAATCCCTCTTCTGCCTGCGGCTGGAACAGGAACTCGTCCTGTTGCAGCTCCATTAGAAAATCCTCTGCCGTCCGCGGCTGGAATGGGAACTCATCCTGTTGCATCCCGATTGGAATCCAATCCTCTTCTGCCATCGAGCCGGCTGCTGCTCCTTTTTTTCTTCCTGTTTGTTTGTTGAGGGAATCGAGCCAGCGGCCACTTTAGTTTGGCTTAATAGATGGCTATGTTTTTTTTAGAGGAAAAGATGGCTATGTTTGAGATTCCGAGGAACAGATCGGGGGCTTTCCCGGATATATATAGATGGCGATGGTTCCTTTACCGTGTCCGACATGAGTCATAACTGGGCCGTGCCCGCGCCAAACAAGCTTTTCCCTTAAACCACACAGTCGTATCCGATACCAGCACTGCATAGTTGTCGTCGAAACGGGGGGCTCCTAACGGGGAGTTCCTATACGCCGCATTTTGCGGCGAATAGCTCACGCGACGCACAGGGGGCGCGCGACTGGGCCGGCCCAGTCGCTGTCTCGCGCGGAACGTAAAATTCGCAAAAAATAAGATCAGGCTACTGCTAGGAATTGAACCCATGACCTGCTTCTTACGCGTGCGACGGGCTAGCCACCAGGTCAGGCAAACTACTCGGCAACGTTGGCAGCATCACGCTTAAAACAAACTGCCAGCAGCGGCAAAAAATAAAAACCAGTACTCCAAATTCCCAAAATTAAACTTGCAAGATTTTTTTTCGAAACACAAACATTATTGGGGCACTCGAAATTTTTACAAACAAATAGGAACGAAAAATTTCATGCAGGACATTTTTCGAAATTACGAACTACTTTTCATAAATGTAAAACATATTTTAAAAAACAATAACAAAAATTGAAAAACTGAACATTTTTCAAAATTAAACAATTTTACAGAAACTCAATCATTTCTTGACTTCACGAATTAATTTTGAAAGCCGAACATTTTTTTAATTTGTGAACAAAATTTTAGAATTATAGCACTTTCAGAATATGTGAACAATTTTGGAAAACAGGAACATTTTTTTAAATTCTCATTTTCTTAAATTTCTGAACAAAAATTAAACAATATAGAATTGTTTTGAATTGGTGAACCAATTTTGAAAAATCATTTTTTTTAATTTTCAAAATTTTGCGAAATGGAATGAATTTTGGAAATCCCATAAAATTTTTGGTTTTGTCAAAAAATGTGGAAACATAAACATTTTTTGAAATTCCCAAACATTTTTAATTTAAGAACAAAATTTTAAACAAGTGAACAATTTTTGAATTAGTGAAAAAAATTCAGGAAACATGAACATATTTTAAATTCCAATAAATTTTTGAATTTGTGAACAAAAATTTAAATAGGTGAACAATTTTTGAATTTAGGAACAAAATTTGAAAACTATAGCATTTTTAGAATATGCGAACAATTTTGAAAAACAGGAACATTTTTCAAATTTCCATTTTTTAAATTTGGGAACAAAAACTAAACATGCAATACTTTTTTTGAATTTGTGAACAAATTTTGAAATCTGAACATTTTTTAATATGTGAACAAATTTTGAAAACAATATATATTTTTGGAATTCGCAAAATGGAAAGAATTATTACAATTCCAGAACCTTTTTCAATTTGTCATTATTCTTAACTAGGAACATTTTTTTGAAATTCCCAAAACATATTTGAATTTGTGAACAACAATTGAACATGTGAACACTTTTGGAATTTATAAACAAAATTTTTAAACTGGGAACTTTTGTGAAAACGAATTTTTTTGGTTTGTGCACAAAATTTTAAAAGGCGAACATTTTTTTGAATGTCCGAACATTTTCTGGAACGAAGCAAACAAATTTTGAAATTTTGTTTTCTTTCGGAATTTATGATCAAAGTTTGAAAACTCGAACATTTTCTGTAAACTGAACAAAATTTGAAAATTCCAACATTTTTGAAAAAGAAAATTTGAGAAAGAGAATGGAAAGGAATAAAAAGAAAACAAAAAAAATGAAAAAAATGTAAAGTAAACAAAGAGAAAAAGGAATAAAGGAGAGAAAAGGAAAAGAAGAAATAGGGAAAAAAGAAAAGAGAAGCAGAATAGAAAAAAAATCCGGTTTAGGAACCTTCTAGAAGTTTTCCAAAACCGTAAAAAATCATCTGGGAACTTCGAGAAGGTTCCCAAAACCGGAACGCTGAAACCACTTAAACGGGCCGGCCCAAATCCGAACGATCCCTCGATTGCCTGTGCGAAACAGCAACATCTTGCCGCAGCGAGCGGCGAATAGGTTTTTCCCTCCTAAGGGGCGATTCGGGCGCCCACGCGGCTGTGAACTGGGCCGGCCCAGCAAAAAGTCAAGTCAGTGAATAGAGCTCATGTGGCGGCAAAGGGCCCGCATCCAGTGGCTGGCTGAAGGTGATAGCAATACAAATTTTTTCCATAAAAAAACAAGTGCACGTAGGGCCAAGAATAATATCTTGGAGCTCCAGAAAGGTGATGGCTATATGACGTCGGATTTTGATGAGATGGCGTCCATGGTGACGAGCTTTTATAAGGATCTGTATGCTTCGGAAAACACCATTGGGATGGAAGAGGTTCTCTCCCACATCCCGGTGAAAGTTGATCATCAAATGAACAGTAGGCTGGACTCACCGTATACAATGGAAGAGGTTAAGTCTGCACTCTTCCAAATGTTTCCTACGAAGGCCCCCGGGCCAGATGGTTTCCCTGCTCACTTTTTTCAGAGGCACTGGGACTTGTGTGGTGATGAGGTAACAGAGATGGTGCTGCGTGTTCTGAGTGGTGATGATTCACCGGAGGAGATAAACAAAACTTTCATCGTTCTTATTCCCAAGACTAGTCAAAAAATTTAGCCCAGTTTCGACCGATCAGTCTCTGCAATGTGATCTTTAAGATCGCATCAAAGGTATGGGCTAACCGGCTCAAACTTATTCTCCCCGAGATCATTTCTGAGGAACAATCTGCATTCGTACCTAGCCGCTTGATCACTGATAATTTTATCTCTGCTTATGAGTGCTTACACTATATGAAAACCAAGAAGGTGAAGGGTAACCGGTTCTGTGCACTAAAACTAGACATGATGAAGGCCTACGACAGGCTTGAATGGCCATATTTGAAGGCGGTGATGCTGAGGTTGGGTTTCAGCCCTCGGTTTACTGATGCTATTATGAGGTGCATAACATCGATGTCGTTCTCTGTCATGTTTAACGGAGGACAGCTTGATGAGTTTAAACAAACTCGAGGGTTAAGGCAGGGAGACCCTATATCACCTTACCTTTTCTTGTTGGCGGCGGAAGGTCTTTCTTCGCAGCTTAAATCCATGACCCCCGGAGAGAGTATTCGTGGGATCTAGGTTGCACTAGGAGCACAGTGCGTTAATCACCTTCTTTTTGCAGATGATAGCTTGCTCATTTTTGATGCTACACCTGAAATGGCGGAGCGAGTAAATGTGTTGCTCCAAAAATATTGTGAAGCATCTGGACAACGAATTAACAAAGAGAAGTCTTCTATTTTCTTTAGCAAGGGTTGTTCGACTGTCTTGAGGAAGAATGTCATGCAAGTTCTTGATGTTCAAAATAAAAAGCTGTCAGAGAAATATCTAGGCCTCCCATCAGATGTTGGGAGAGCTAATGAGGGCTCTTTCAAATACCTGAAAGATGGGATTTGGAAGCAGGTTCAAGGTTGGATGGAAAAGGCACTCTCAGTCGGAGGAAAAGAGGTTCTTATTAAGTCAGTTGCACAAGCAATACCTACATATTCTATGGCGTGTTTCAAGCTTTCGAGGGGTTTGTGCCTACACATCAATGGCCTGCTTTGTAAGTTTTGGTGGGGCTCCAAGAAGGGTGAGAGGAAGACTGCATGGGTCTCATGGGAGGTGATGACTCAGGCCAAGTTTATGGGAGGTATGGGGTTCCGTGACATTGAGATGTTCAATTTAGCCTTACTGGCTCGTCAAACATGGCGTTTGCTGCAAGAACCTGACTCCCTCAGCGCACGTATACTCAAGGCAGTTTACTACCCCGATCGCAACTTTCTGGAAGCCGAGCTGGGGAGCAAACCATCCCAGGTCTGGCGCTCTATACATGAAGGTTGGGATACTCTCAAATTGGGAATAATTAAGAGGATTGGAACAGGAAGTGAAACGAACATCTGGCATGACAATTGGATACCCCGGGATCACAAGTTGAGGCTGGTGTGTCCAAAGATTTCAGACCCTCCGCAGCTTGTATCGGATTTGATTGACCATAGCAATGCTTGCTGGAATATTGCTGTACTGGATGAATACTTTTATGCGATGGACAGGGAGGCGATTCTGAAGATTCCGTTGAGTACTCGAGCTCAAGATGACTTTTGGGCCTGGCACTACGATAGGAGGGGTGTTTTTTCAGTTTAGTCTGCTTATCGACTTCTAGCCTCGACGAAATAGTAGAGAACGGATTGGCTGGAGCATAACCCGAGCCACTCTCATGGCGACGAGGACAGGAAATCTTGGGGAAAACTGTGGAACCTGAGAATCCCGTCCAAGATTAAGGTGTTTGCTTGGCGTTTAGCCAAGACTTCGCTCCCAACCGGAGATGTCCGGAATCATAGAAAAATGACAAATACGCCATCGTGTTCGATATGCAACGCGGCTACCGATTCCTGGAGACACTCCTTATTTGATTTGCCATATGTCCCGATGTGTGTGGGCTTTAGCCGAGGAGGAACTGACTGAAGTTGCTATCTCAAACCGAACGGCAGATGCAAGATTTGTTGGGGAACGTAGCATAAATTCAAAATTTTCCTACGTGTCACCAAGATCAATCTATGGAGTCATCTAGCAACGAGGGAGGAGTGGATCTACATACCCTTGTAGATCGCGCGCGGAAGCGTTCAAGAGAATGGGGTTGATGGAGTCGTACTCGTCGTGATCCAAATAACCGATGATCCTAGCGCCGAACGGACGGCACCTCCGCGTTCAACACACGTACGGAGCAGCGACGTCTCCTCCTTCTTGATCCAGCAAGGGGGGAGGAAAGGTTGATGGAGATCCAGCAGCACGACGGCGTGGTGGTGGAAGTAGCGGTATTCCAACAGGGCTTCGCCAAGCGCTGCAGGAGGAGGGAGATGTGTCATG